GTTACCAAATGGACAGGACCAAGGACACACCTGGTACTTGTTGGACAGGGCCAAGTTATGGCCTAGGTGCTGTCAGATGGTCTCAGGAAAGACTCAGACTCAGCAGGATGAACCTAAGCCTCTAAGAGGATTAAAGATCTACTGCAGGGCTCACATTGATCCGGATCATTAAACTGTATAAATATATATATTTGGTATGGTATAAAGTTTATTTATTTTAAAAGAGTACAAAACAATTCCATAACAATATAAAAATTACAAAAGATTTAAAATGAAAGGCAGCAGAAAGAAGAAAAAAATCTTATTTTATCTGCCCCTTTTTTCAAACAATTATTTCAATCATAATAATTTTCAAGTAACAGAACAAAATGAATAACTCTTTCTAATTTTTCTAATTCTAATACAAAACACACACTAAGCTACTTCATATATATTTTTTAACAATTCAGTTTTGATCTTTTTCTTAAATGTTCACATTGACTTGTCATTTTTCACATCACTCTCTAGAACATTCCACAATCCAACTCCTTGGATTGAGGTAGACCTTCCCTTCAGACTAGTTCTGAATTTTGGTTTGACAAATATTTCTATCCCCTTAAGATTATAACAACTTTGTCTTTTAACAACATTTCTTTGGATATTTAATGGTAATGTGTTATTTTGAGCCCTATACATAACTGATAAAATACTATAATCTACCAAATCATGGAACTTCAATAAGTTCAGTTGATAAAATAATGTGCTTGATGGGTGACAGTAATGCTTTCTGGTGATAATTCTTACAGCTCTTTTCTGTAAAATAAAAATAGGTTTTGTAAATGTTTTACATGCTTTCCTCCAAACATCAATGCAATAGATTAAATGTGGAACAATGATTGTGTTATACAACATGTACAGAGCTTTATCATTTAATAATTCCCTGACTTTGTATAGTACTGCAATACATTTAGATATTTTTGTTCTTACAGAATTGATGTGATTTTTCCATGTTAGCTGTTCATCAATGATTACACCCAAAAA